ATATATATATATATATTTATATATATATATATATATTATTTTTTTTTTCTGAATACCAAAACCTGAAAAAATAGAATGCACACAGAACCATACCCAGAAAACTGTCAAACCACTCTCACTTATATATAAAAAAAAAAGTTCTTTATTTTATAAATAAAATCCAAATGCATATTTAAAAAATAATTAATACTAAGGAAATAGAGTTTATGAATCTATATTTAGGGAAGTTATAATTAGGAAAGTTGTCAAAACAATGTAACAGATTAAATTAGAAATATATACCTTATTTTCCGGCGTATAAGACGATTTTTTTTATCCATTTATTGTATCAATGTACGGTATATTATGATATGTTTAAAAAATGTCATTCATTAAAAATTAAATTAAAAAAAGAACTGGTGCTGCCTCGGAAATGGGGGTAGTGTTATACAGCGAATATAGGCCTAAACCTATGTTTTAACTGTAAAATTATGGGGTCGTCTTATATTCTGGAAAATATGGTAACATGACATTTCAATACATATTTAAAGCATTTGCTAAATTCTAACACAAATTTCTTTTCTGTCTTAAATTTAAAAACTTTATTGGGGTGACATTGGTTAATTATATAGGTTTCAAGTGTACAATTCTAAAATACATCATCTGTGTATTGTATTGCATGTTTACCTCTCAAAGTCAAGTCTCCTTCTGTCATCACTTATCCCCCTTTTATCTTCTTCTACTTTCTCCACCCCCTTTCTCTCTGGTAATCTGTGTCTGTGAGTTTTTTAGGTTTTGTGTTTTTTTGCTTAATTCTTTCAATTTTCTCACTTAACCCCACATCTTGTCTCCCCTCTGACACCTGTCAGTATGTTCTCTGTAGCTATGAGTCTGTTAACACCAATTTCTTATTTAAAAACAAAACAAACTTCTTTAAAAGCAGGAATGTAAGGATGCTTCTTTAATGATAAGAATGCCTACCTGGAACCCATAGCAAATATTATAAATAACAAAATTATAGAGATTTTTCTAATAAAATCAGGAGGGAAACACAAATATGTTTGGAATATCTCTGGAAGTTTGCTCAATTCATTGAGACCCAGAACAAAACATAAGCATTGGAAAAGAAGAGATAAAATAATATCTTCTTTTACACTTAGAACAATAAAAAGAAAGAATGCAAAGCTGTTAGAGTTACTCAGAGCTCATTTGTTGAATATAATGTAAATATATCTAAATTGATACATTTATATAAAAATAATATTAAAGTGAATAAAATGAAATGAAAAACAAATTTATTTTTTCAGAGCAAAAATCAAAAATAAACAAACAAAATAACACCACTTCAAAACCTGCAAATAACTTCAGTGAGCAATGTTCTATATAAGTAAATAAAATCACACAACTTTTAAAAGTTTAAAATAAAACTTGATTAAGTATAGATGTATGCCAAGATTTTGACTGAAAAATGAAATATAGTTGATACATCAATTCTTCTTAAATTAATTTAAATACATTTTCATTGATTTCAGAGAGGAAGGGAGAGGGAAAGAGATATAGAAACACCAATGATGAGATTCATTGATTGGCTGCCTCCTGCACTCTCCCTACTGGAGATCAACCCAATCATGTGCCCTTGACCAGAAACGAACTTGAGACCCTTCAGTCTGCAGGCTAATGCTCTACCTACTGAGCAAAACTGGCCAGAGCTCCTTAAATTAATTTAGAAATGTAATGCAATTCCAATCTATATGACAATGTAAGTTCTTACAAACTTATTCCAAGGTTAGTTTTTAAGTTATAAACACTAGAATAATAAATCACAAATTTCAACCTACTGATAAAACATGACATTACAAATATATTAGTAGAGAACAGGTTTTTCATAAGAAACTATTATAGAATTAAGGTTGTCACAAATTTACGGTGTATAAAAGAAGAATGTTGAGATATCTGGTTATCCTCTTGAAAAAAGCTTCAATTTAGAGACCTCAAAAGATACATTAAAATTAGGTCAAGATAGGTTCAAAAGCTATATTTTAAAATACTGACTAGATTAAACTAGGGGAAAAAGATGACTACTGAGCATCTTTGGAAGCATTCAAAAGGAACATGTTGGTAATCTTGAATATGGAGGCTGGCAGGATGGAGGGGAGGGAGAGGAAGTGAGTGAGTGAGGTTATCAAAGGAGAGTGTGTGTGTGAGTGAGTAACGGACAGTTAAATCCCTGTAGGAGCAGCAGGGACTGGCAGACCAGGCTCTCTTGGACAAGGGGAAACTACCACCACTGCGGTCACTCCCCAGACTGTGGGACTCCAGTACGGAACCCAAGCCATCTTAAAGGATAGAATGGCCTTTTTTTAGGAACTCATCAGCAACACCAAACAAATAGGCCTTGGAACTGCCCCGTGACCCAGCAGCCACTCCAGCCAAAACCTGATTGGATTTTGTGACTACAATCAGCCCTTAATTTGTGTGTGTTGCAAAGAAAGAACTAAATGGATACCTTACAAATAGATGCAGGAGATTAAAGTTAGGTAACATTTAGGCCTATATATTCTCAAATGGCTAACTAAAGAGCATAAAAAAATAGAAGTGTTAATAGATTCTTTAAAGGCCAGATGACTAAAAATAACAAAGTTAAAGAGTAGCTAGAGCATACATTTTTAAAATGTTTCTCTCTCTCTCTTCCTTTTTACTGTATTTTTTATTATGGTAAAATATATGTAACATAAAATTTGCCATTTTGACCATTTTTAAGTATATAACTCAGTGATATTAATTACATTATTTAACCATCACTGCTATCTATTTCCAGTAGTTTACATCACCCCAAACACAAATTCTCTACCCATTAAGCAATAAATTCCCATTCTCCATCCCCTTAGTAAACTTGGTAAACTCAAATCTACTTTTGCTTCTATGCATATGTTAGATATTTCATATAAGTAGAATCATATAATATTTGTCTTTTTTTGCTTGGCTTCTTTCACTTGGCATAATGTTTTCAAGGTTCATCTATGTTGTAGATTTTGGCAGAATTTCATTTCTTTCTATGGCTAAAGAACATTCCATTGTTTTATATATACATCACATTTTGTTTTTCTACTCATCTGTTGATGGACACTTGGGTTGTTTCCACTTTTTGGCTATTGTGAATAATGGTACAATGAATCCTGGCATGTAAGTATCAGTTTGACTCCCTGTTTCTTAATTCTTTTGGGTACATACCTAGGAGTGCAATTGCTGTGTTATATGGTAAGTCTATGTTTAACTTTTTGAGGAACTACCAAAGTGTTTTCCACAGTGGCTGCACCATTTTACATTCTTATCAGCAATGGACAAAAGTTTCAATTTTTACACATCCTCCCCAATGCCAGTTATTTTCCAATTTTAAAAAAATTATAGCCATCTTTTAGGTGTGAAATGGCATCTCATTGTGACTTGTTTTACACCCCTCCCCCATCCTATCTCCCCTCCTCGTAGCTAATTATGTTGAGCATCTTTTCATGTGTTTAATGACTGTTTGCATATCTTCTTTAGATAAATGTTTATTTTCAAGTCTTTTGCCCATTTGAAAATTAGATTGATTGTCTTTTTGTTGTTGCATTATAGAAGTTATTTATATATTGCATATTTAATTCTTATCAGATATATGATGCAAATAATTTCTCCCATTTTCTGGGTTGTCCTTTCAATCTCTTAATAGTACCTATTCGTTTAACTTTTCTTCCAATTATGAAATAAATACATGCTTGATTAAAAATATTGGCAAGTAGTAAAGAATTCCAGAAAGTATAAAGAATCAAAAAAAAAAAGGCACTCATAGTTCCAACTGAAAGTTAACTATGTTTTATATTTATGCATATTTTTTGTCACTTAAATTTTTTTTATGAGTTTATTTTAAGCAAACTAAGAACATATGACAGGGAGCAAGATCTCAAATGCTCCTCTCCATCACTTTTTGTTACTGTTGTTAATCCTCACATGAAGATATTTTTCCATTGACTTTAGAGAGTGGAAGATAGAGGAAAAGACGGAGAGAAACATGAACCAGGCCCCCGTCTGGGCCTGGGAGGAGCTTGTAATCCAGTAACGTGCCTTTGACCAGAATTGAACTGAATCCCTTTGGTTCGCAGTCAGATTCTCTATACACTGAACCAAACCAGCCAGGGCCCCTCAATCACTTTTGATATTACATTTACTTTATGTATTTAAATGAATATGTATCTATACTTTTATATATTTTTTAACTTACCATATAATAACCATGTTATTAAGTCACTAAAAAATCTGTAAACATACTATTAATGGCTACATATATTTACTATATGTATATACTGTAAATCATTTAAACATTCCCTATGTTGAAAACATTCCCAATGTTTTTCTATTAATAATAATGCTGAAATTAATATCTTCTCACATAATGGAATTGTAGAAGTAGAATAATAGAATAAAGGGCTTGAAACAGTCCCTTGCTTAAAGCAGTTTTTGCTAAAATCCAAAGATCCCTGGGATGGTCATTGCGCCATAGGCATCTGCACATGCATTAACTACTGCCACCTTGTGATCCTCTCTTGTTACATAATTTTGGTGGAGGCTCAGGGTATTTTATTAAAAATAAAGGAATGGGTCGGGGAGGAAGAGAGAAAATAAGCAAAGGCAAGTTTGAAGTTAAGGAGTGTCCTGCACAGAGCTCAGGAGCACCAGGAAGGACCTTAGCAGGTGGGGAAGAAAGGGAGACAGGAAAGTGTGAAGACATGGACAGACAAACTTGACATGGCATCATTTTATCTCAGGCCCTGGTTTTATCTATAAATGTTTATTGACAGTTGTACAGATCTTTTGACCAAGTAGGTAAGGCAGTTTGACTAATGACATGGAATGTGGTTGTGAATTCATGCACGTCATCTAAAATCTTAGTGACCGATTCTTCCTACGTAGCTGAGTATTCCCAGACCTGTAAATACTGAACACCAATGGCTAGTAACTTTATAATTTGATTTTTTCCTACTTACACCATTGGGAAGAGCTTTGCAGTCTAGGGTTAAGACTTTAAAATTCTCCTTGGAACAATTAGTTTGCTGAATTAAGTAACTAACTTCATAATTCCATCCGGACACCACCTGAAACAATGTTGAATTGAACAGTTAAAGGGCAGTTTAAACATTATTCACTGTGTTAAGAGGAACTTAGAATACTGCCTGGCATATTTCAAGTACTCAAAAATATAAACTCTTATTGGTAGACAAAAGTCATGACTGAATAAATATTGAGCACTTTATGACTCTCACACTCCTCAACACACACACACACACACACACACTCCTAGCATCTGAAAGTAAAAAAAGCAGTATATAGGTAGAGTTACTGCATTTTCTTAAGAAAAATCTAGCAACATTTCCTCTGCCAAGCAACAGAAAAATAATGTTCTTTTGAATTTGTGAAATATTAATAATACTCATCTAAATGGTTAAAACACTTTGGAGCTAGAATGGCCTTTACTGATAAGTTCTAAGGTTCCCATACAGTCAGACAGTAAGTTTTGTGCTGCTTTATCTTGGGCTAGTCCCACCCCAATAGCTGTTATGAACATAATTGAGTAGAATATGTGTCTTGCATGAAGGGAAGTTGACTGGTCTATTAAAAGTATGGAATGTTAACGACTAAAATAAATCCCTTATAATTAGACACTGAAATACAAGAGACCCAATGAAAAGGCCAGAATTCCAAGAATTTCATTTATTTTAATGATATGAAAACTATAATTTAGAGAGTTCTCAGAAAGCTGTGCCAACTATTTGGATATTATTTAATATTTTGGAGCCATATTTGACTCATGATAGCTAAGTGATAATGTAATTTTTCTCAAAACCTTAATGGTAGAATGATCTTTTCATCTCACCATCTTTAAAAAAAACATGTATTTCTGACTACCCATTCATTAAAACCCACCTCAGAGCCACGGGTCTGATTAGCCACACTTTTCCCCTTTATATATTGCAGTATCCGAATCACTTTGACTCAAGAGAAAGCTCTTTACCTCCCATGCCAGTCAGATGAGGACAGAAAGAGCTCCTTCACCATCAGTCATGGAATCATAGGTTTTCTATTGACCAATGGTTTGTTTTAGGCAATGAAACCCTAAACATAAAGATCCAACAAATTTTAACAATACTATGAGAAATGAAAACTAATGCACAAACCTGTTTCTGTGCCTTTTTTACTTCTTTCAGAGCAAAGAGGTGCGAATGATCAGTGTGGTTGTTAAAATGTTGAATGGCATGTCTCAGAACAGGGTCCAAGTCAGGGCTGGCAGTGGATATGGGGTGTACACAGCCAAGGCATTCATACTTGGAGGTCACCACAGGTCCCTCGGCTTGACAAAGAAAGAGTAGCGAAAAGGGCAGTGTTAATGAGCAAAACCCACATTCAGATACATTGTCCTAAATAAGTAAGTTAATTTTGAAGATCCTGGTAAGTGAACTTTCTAGTAAATTCTAGTATGTATTAGAAAAAGAGAACAAAAGCCTGCTTTTTGTCAGAAGAAAAAAAAAAAAAACCTACCATTGAGTTAGGAACATCTTACGTGCATTCTATTGTGCATAATTATTTTAAATTTATTTAAAAAACACTGTAAATTATAGAAATAATATATAATTTATCCTCTTATAAAGAAGTATAACAATACAGATGTAGTATTATTTATTTTTCAGTGTTAAAGTCCTTGAAGCCTCATTTAGGATGTTTTGTATCAATTCATTTTAACAAACATGCATATATTTTGCTCCTGCTGGAATATGTCAGGTGCTGAGCTAGCCTGTATGGTTACATTAACTTGTTAGTTATGGTCACTGTGGTGTGTTGGTAAGCACAGGAGACCTGGTTGGAAAGATGTAAGGAGGACTTTATAATGAAAGGGAAGTGTGTGGAAGGCCACCTGCCTTGTTTGCTAGAATTTTGAAATAGGGGAGACATAGGGGAGTGTTGAAAGCAGTACCCCTAATTATGCTTTGACCTTTCCAAACAAGTCTGATCACATACAAACCCCAGGTTTCTGGAAGCTAATTCCAGCATGTCAGCAGAGCTGAATCATCTGGAATGGCTGAGGGCATTTCCCCAAACCTGAAAAGGTTGCATAAATGATTGTTTGCTGACAGACAGCTGAGGGCATTTCAATCTACATGTTATTGCCTCCTCCTGGCCAAATACCCGAATAGCTGAAGGCAAATTCTTCCAATCTGGCAATGGATTCCATACACTAAACCCTGGCCTTTGACATGCATATCTACTTTGCCTTAGGACAATTTGTGTTAATAAAAAGCAAGGGGTCCAGAGAGACAAGAGAACTTGGAGAACTTGGTTTCTTTAGCCAAGCTCCTCTGACCCCTTAAATGCTTTCCAAAATAATGCTTCATCTCTAGACTCTTGATTAATTTACACACAGTGCCTTCTTCAGATTACTGAAGCCCTTCTAGATGCTGGATTAAAAACCCCAGCATCAGGTGTTTATTGGAATCCTTATGCTTAATTCCTAAATGCTCTTGCCTAGAGGACAATGTAAACACATGTGTCCTCTCAAGATTATTCACTGTATTGATTGTATCTAAAGATAAAAAAATGCAATAAAAGGCTAACAGGGCAGGCAATCCAGGCTGCTATGGCCCCAAGAGCCAGGAGCCCCTTAACTCAGTCTTTTACAGTCAAACTGTGTCTGAATAATCAGTTCAGTCCTCATTCCAGGGCTGCTGGTCAGCCCTGGAAGTGGTGAAGGTGTTGGGCAAAGTTGAGTAGGAGGGATGGAACTACAGATGAATATTTCAAAATAATTCAGCAAGAGCTTGGAAAGGCAGGAGCCCAGAGTGAGCTCTAGAAAGACTTTCCTGAGGAGAAGACTCTTGAGCTAACAAGGGTGTAAAGCAGTCAAGGCCAACTGGGCAACATAAAGTGTGAGCCTGAGAAGAAGGAGCAAAGGGAGGAATGGCTTTCAAGAAAGCAGGATTAGTCAGGGCAACATGTGGGATGTGGCATATACTTTTTACCGTGACTTAAAGAGGAGGCAGGGACTGGTGATTGAGGTCTGGGCAATTGGTAGATAGAGTTCCCTATTGTGGAGTCCAGGCTTCTCTCCAGAGGCCAGGGGTTATGAACTATATTCCAAGGTTCATCGGCTCCTTGGTGAACCTGATGAGAACCATGGCACTCTCTCCAGGAAAATGCTGGTATTCACAACGTCCTCTAATTTCAGGGTGTACAGAGACCCACTGAAGTGAATGAAGAGTGGTCAGCAGTAAAGATGGGGTGCGACTGATGGGGTTTTAATAAAATAATGTACAATATTAAAACAGAGCGAGCTTGTATTAAGTTACCAAGTAATGTTTATAACAGATAAGCCTTAACTCACTGGTCAGTAGAGGCAGCTCTGACTAGGGAAAGAGAAGCTATGGAGCAGTCTTTTGAGGGTGAAAGGAGTAGGGAAATATGCAAATTCAGTTATTCCAGGCAAAGGGATGATTTTTCATTCTGCTCCAACATTTCTGGGGATATTTAAAAAAATTTTTTAAAACAATTTAAAAAAATTTTTGCCAAAAAAGTTTCAAATAAGGGATTGTCGACCTAGTAGTAATTGTGGATCTAGAACATGTGGCAACAAGCTTTTTCTCTCCTAGTACATAAGTGCTGTGTTCTGGATCAAGTGAAAATTTGCTTATGAGCTAAAGTTCTTAAACTGAATAATGAAAAGCTACTCCACAATTTTTTTTTTTTTTAATTTTCTGTTTTGGACTGTTTTTCTTTAAATGCCACTTCTTGCAAGAGCTGAAACTTAAGAAATGTAGTTTTCTTTATGGATGACTAAGGTCAATATAGACAATTGTTCCTTCACTAACATTCATGAGCGTGGCTGAAAATGCTGTTCTGGAGTCTCCTATGCTAAAAACCTATCTTGCAAAAAGCCAAATGGGTTGGCTTTTGTGATTGACATTCCCTAGATGTGCCCATTCTTCTGCACCCAGCCACTGTGACACCAGAGGGAAGGAGCTAATAGTGGTTATATCTCTGCATAAATTGCTCCATTCTTATGAGGTCTACTATACTATTCTGCTATTTGCTAGCTGTGGGAAATTGGGCAAGATATTTAACTATGGTGAGCCTCAGTTTGCTCATTTGTAAAATGAGAATATTAACCCTTGCCTCATAGACTTGTTGTGAGGATTAAATAAACCAACGATTAGCAGTATGGCTAGCAATAAGTGCTCAATAAATACCAGCTATGATTACTTTTATTCTGATGATGAATACATTCTTATGCTTGTAACTTCAAGCCTGCCATCTAGTTTCAGTCTACAATAACCCTCTGCAATGAGAATTACTATGATCCTCTTTTAAGGGAAACAAAAAAGTGAAGTGCTTTTGAAGGATTGCAGGCCAGATTTGACCACAAATCCTGTGCTTTTCTGGCTCTAGGACACCCTCACAACTGAGGTATATGGCATGTTTTCTAGTTCTTTCCCAGAGCTTTTGCACACCCCTAATTGAGCTCTGCTGTCCAGGGAGAGTCCAGGGGATGATTGGCAGGAGCCTGGCCCCACCTCAGGACTGTCACCACAGACCCCAACACCCACCAAGGCTGCAAATGGCCTTGTGCAGCCACCCACTGCCCTCTGGGAAGGGGATTTGTCCAAGTTATGTTCCTGGCCCCACAGGGAAATGGTTCATTTCCCACCAGGGCAGCGCCACCCTATATATCAGCTACCTGGAGTAATGTGACAGGTCTGAGAAGCAACGGCGAATTTCATATTTGGTCTCTTCCCTATGGTCGCCGTGCATTCTCCTGTGGCCTAGAAAGAAAGAAAAAGGAGACCATTTATGTTAATCTTTCAGATGGAAAAGTGCACTTAGTGCTGTAGGCTTTTCTCTTATTTAAAACTTAAGATTCTTTTCTAACGGAGATTTGAGACACAAAAATGAATGTTTTTGTAGCCTAATCATTATTATTTACAAGTTATTGATATTCATGAGATGCCGGGAGGAGAGGCAGTGTAGATAGTGAGATTTAAAATAATGTTATGTTTGGAGCACAGGAGATATTTCTTTTTCACCAAGGTGCACACTGTGCCCTAAAACTAGCCTGCCAGACTCTCCTCTTACAGTTCATCTTTAGGGTTCAACTGCACAGAGGTTGTGGAGTTTTTGATAGCATGGTAATACCCAGTTATTCACTGAAAAGGAGCAAAGGGAAGGCCAAATAGACACAGGCCCAGTAAAGTCTGGGTGATGTAGGGAAGGTACTTGTCTGTCAGTCACACCTGGGAACATAACTGGTGTGGCAACTGCAAGCACGGGAAGATTTCAGATATTAAACTCCTAAACAAAGTTCTCTCTCTTGCTCACTAGGGCTCCTGGCTCTCTTGTTGCAGGGGACACACTCCTCTGCATGCTCCCACATGGCCCACAGCCATATATCACTCCCCCAAAAACACAATGGACAGGAACTAGATTGATGATGTGCTGAAACATTATATAAAAACTACTTTTTGAAATTTAACCCTGCTATTTGGGTTCTGTGAATTCTTGCTTGCTAAGACTACTCCCACTTCAGAGAGGCCATTAAATCTTCCCCAGACAAGGTTATCAGTGCTGGCTCCAGAGCAGGCCTCTGGTTAAGGTCTCAAGGCCAGCACATACGGGCTCTTTAAGAACTTGAAAAAGGGGCCGGAAACACCCTATATTTGGGAGACAAAGAAGGTCAAAACATGTAAATTGGGGAAATTCCTGCATGTTGGGGCCCAGAATTTGAGAGACATTTTCATCTGGACCCATGAGTAATAAATATAACTCCATCTCTAAGTATTGCTTTGTTCTTCTTTGTGTAACAGTGCCTGACCCAGTTCCCCCATGGAATGGAAACTTGGCACATTGGTTTGGCTTTTGGCTCTCTGAATCCCCAGCTGCACCTCTTTTAGGACTGGTTTAAGGGAAATGGCATTTTAGAAATGCAGATGTGTAATTCCACACAAATAAAGATCTCTCATCTTCCTGTGTGACTCTTAGAAGATTCTTTTTCTCAAGGTATCATGAGGACCGGACTGCCATCATCCAGTGGAAAAAGGAATCCTCCACTTCCCACCAGTGGACACTCCATTTCCACCAATAACATTTTCACACATTAAAGAGGTGAGTCCATGGACTCTGGAAAGAGTGGCTTGCTTTCTGGCAGATACTGGCTGTTAGCTCCCACAGGTAAGGGCAAATAACCAGCTATGGTGTAGCAAGCAGATGTTAGGCATTTGGATAAGAGATCTTGTTAATAAAACAAGATCTTTTCATATTTATGTCCTTTCATCTTTCAATTTAGGTCAACTTTACCACCCTCTTACAAGGGAGCCCATGGGTTAAAAGTGGTCAGCTAATTAGAGGCAGAGTAGAATTCCAACTCAGGTCTGCATAAAGCACCCAGTTGGTCATAAGAGTCCCCTCTTCATGGGAGGGCTTTCTTCACATCTCATGGCTGGCATCTCATGCCCTCTCTGTCTATGCAAGAACATAGACACCAACCATTTGACTTTTGTACACATTTGAGGGTTTATGTGTACCCCTCACAAACAGATTCAATAGTACTCATCACCCCCCAGCTCTAATAGAATAATTTGGAAATCTTGATTGAGAAAACTGGAAGCTCTGGACCATCATACTTACAGCTTGCCCAAGTTCTTTGTAGTCACACTCCTGCCAGGTTTTGTTACTTTTAAGAGGACAGTCACCCTCCTTGATGTCATACTTGATAGAATAAAATATGTTCTGTTCTTCCTGGAAAAAAATAAAGCAATCAAAGATACATAGGGCTTATTTAATTGACAACAGCAGACTGTTGGAGAGGGATCTGGTCCAGTTATGAATATTTGATATTGATTTAATTAAACAAGAGCAAAACATTTACTAAAAATACTAAAAGTTATAAATACTTGAAAGAATGTTCACATTTTATTTATAAACATGTATTTTCCAGTAACAAAGTAGTATATGTAGTATTAGCCTATTTTTGTAGAAAACAATTTAAAGGGACATTTATAATTTTAAAAGCCTAAAAAATTATACAGCAAAGCTATTAACATGTGTGTCTCAGTGGTGGATGTAAGGTTATCTTTTACTCTCTTCTTTAAACGAACATTCCTAAATTGTCTGAGTATTTTTTTAAACCAAATATATTTTACTTTTACAATTAGAAAACAAACTAACAAATGAGAGTACTTTCTTTTTCTTTTTTTAAATATATTTTATTGATTTTTTACAGAGAGTAAGAGAAAAGGATAGAGAGTTAGAAACATCAATGAAAGAGAATCATAGGTCAGCTGCCTCTTGCACACCCCGTACTGGGGATGTGCCCACAACCAAGGTACATGCCTTTGACTGGAATCGAACCTGGGACCTTTCAGTCCACAGGCCGAAGCTCTATCCACTGAGCCAAACTGGTTTTGGCAAGAGTACTTTCTTTTTCATATATATATACAGGTATCTCTGGGTGGTGAGATTTTTGTTATGGGTAATTTTAGTAATTTTATTTTTTTGTCTAACATGTCCTAAAATAACAAATAAAACTTTAAAGCCCAAAGGTTTTGAATTAGATAAGCTATTAGATGCAAAATCCTGGCATGTTGGAGCAGCATGAGACCTGAGAGGAGATGTTGCCTAGTCCCTCACTTTGCAAGTGAAAGGAGGCCCAAGGAGAGAGGGCAGAGCTTAGGCAGCCTCCCACATTGGAAAGGCAAAGCCAACCCAGACCAGGGTCTCCAGTGTAGGGGCAAAGTTCTCTCAGCATCTGAGAGATGATGGAGTCAAACATGACAGTTCTGAGGTTTGTTTCAGGTCTGAGATTTTGATAAAGCAGTAGGTGATAGTAATTCTGTGGATATATTAGGGGGGGGGAAAATACCCCATGAGCCTAGCCATTGGTCACAGGCAACAGGGAGATGGGGGCATACAGGGGGAAGGGGTTTGGGATGGGAATGGGGAGATTAGGATAAATATGTGATACCTCAATAAAAATTTTAAAAAATACCCAACAACAGCACATTTGCCACAGATGTCAGTCAGTCAATGACAACAGCAACAAAACATTGCCAAGGGCACCAGGACTCACATGACTACACTAGCTTGTAAAACAGAATGGCTTAATGAAAAATAAAATAAATAAAATAAAATAAAATAAAATGCCTTATGGCCTTTTTTCTTTAATCTCATAATGTAAAATGGATGAATTTTTTTCTCCCACTGAAGTAAACTATCACAGAGACATAGTGAAATTCATTTGAACAAACTATTGAAAGCTTGTATTTTTTTTAACTTTGCTCTTTTCTTCCTTTAAAAATAATTTGTTTTCTTTTGCATGACACAAGACTTCTAGTTTTTAAACAGGGTACTTCCAAAACAAAAATATCACCCCTGTGTCCTATCTTTATTTTCATCAATGCAAGAAATCCTTCTGGAATATCAACATGTGATTAAATAGGTATCCAACCATTGAATCTAAAAGTTAATACATATTCTGTTATGGCAGAATAGCCAAGAATTTTCCCCAAAGAAAGATTTTAATTTTCTAAATATGAAAGGATCTAAGAGGATCATATGCAAACAAACAAAAGTTGGATAGCACACTGGCAGCTGAAGAAAGCTGAAACTATAAATAGATCCAAATGAAGTATTTCTACATTTCTTTAGAAAACTGAACCAAAATTCCTATTTTAAAAATGACTCCGTGGAATGGCTTTGCTTCCATATTTATCTAATATTGTAACAGTAAAACAGATACAAGAACGTTGATGACAGCTCAGCAATGCTGGATACAGGACATTTACATGTGCACTTTTGTTTAAAAGTCCCACATGTTTATTGACTAAGGTTAGGCAGCAAGTCATATGATCCTATTGGATGCTTTTTCTACAATGTCCAAGATCATTATATGGATACATCCAAAGATTGGGCCCCAACTTTCAGGAAAAAGATCACAAAGAAGAAAATCAGGGTAGTTATTTAGTTCTCCTAGTTAATTGTTTGAACTGGAACAACAAAAGGTGGAAAACACAGACTTCGAAGGATTAAAGAAGTTGGAAACAGTTGGTGGAAAGAGGTATGGTATATAAGTAAGGTCATTAGGCTTGGGATGTCAAGGAAAGTGCAAAAAAGAGCATCCATGGGACCACATATTTATAATGTCTGTAGTGTCACTCCCTCAACGATGTTAGGACGTCTGTTATCAATGATAAGTAGATCAGTTATGCAATAAGGCAATGTGTCAAATATGCATTCGTCCTGTGGAATGAAACACCACAGAGATACATAATACCATACACATTCTTGGGTTGTGTCTGATTGGCTTGTTTTCAAAGCTACCCAGACAAACTCTTCATGGAGATGTCCTTGAAGGGAAGAGTGGTATGCTGAGCCCAGTTTGCTTAATCTTTCCTATTTTAAGATATGATGTTGACTTTAAAGAGAAATAAAGCTAAAGGCTGTTTGAATTTTATTTTTCCCCCTTTCAGTTGCATAGTTCTGAATGTTTTCACATAAACAACAACAACAAAAATCACAACTAAACCCTCCCTCTCACCCCACCCCCACCCCAATCTAATAGTTTTGAGGCATCCAGTTGTATTTCTTGGAATCACACATCCTGTCAGGATTTATCTTCTACCTGAGTGTATCCATCAGTGATAAGGAATATTCAAAATCAACTAGAACATTGCTGTTACCCTTAGTGCATTCAGCCATCAGGACTTCATGGTATATATTTTATCTAATATAGTAAAACTATAGTAATTTCTTTTCTGACTCCTCTTGACATACCCACTGTCCCTCATTTACCCTAGTTTTATTGAAGTATATTTATTGAGGTATAATAAATCACATATATTTAAGATATACAAAAAATGATTTGCTATATGTTTACACTGTGAAATGATTACCACAAATAAGATAATTAACACATTGTCACCTCACATAATTACGTGTTTTGTGTGTGAGGTAAGAACTCTTAAAATCTAACCCTTTAGCATATTTCAAACATACATTACAGTGGTATTAATTCTATTCACCATGCTGTACATTAGACCCCCAGGACCTACTCATCTTATTTCTTTAAAATCTATTTTTATTTATTTCAAAGAGGAAGGGAAAAGGAGAGAGACATAGAAACATTAATGATGAGACAGAATCACTGATTGGCTGCTTCCTGCACACACACCTCCCCCACCCCCACCAGGGATCAAGCTTGCAACCTGGACTTGTGCCCTGACCGGGAATTGAACCACCACCTCCTGGTTCATAGGTTGATGCTCAACCATTGAGCTAAGTGACCAGGCTCATTTCATAACTGAAAGTTTGAATCCTTGACAAACACCACCCCATTCCTTCCATCCTACAGTCCCTGACAACAACCATGTATTTCTGCTTTTGTTAAGTTTTACATTTTTAGATTCTATTTATATATGAAATTATACAGTATGAGTTAGACATACCTCCTTAACACCTCTTCCCATTTGAGGTCTGGAGGTCTTTATATTTCCGTTTAAAGCCGGTCACCCAGCAAATCCTTTTGCTGAGGCCTGACTGAGTTCCTGGATTTTCCCACTCTACATAGTCCCTTTCAAATGACTCCATCTACCTTTCTTTAATTTCAGCTTAGAATACCTGTCCTCTGATCACCCAAGAGGCCAACCTTGGAGGTTTGAGGACTAGTCATACTCTCCACAAGTCCCAGCCCAGAGAGTGGGGTTGGTCTTTTCTAAGAGCTGTAAGCCTCTACTTTTAATTATCGGTTTTTTGTGTTTTTGTTTTTTTTTTGTGGTGTGTGTGTGTGTGTGTGTGTGTGTGTGTGTGTGTGTGTGTCCTGGGTTCAAGAGATAGCACCAATCCCAAAGGACCTCAAGGTTAAACACAACTCACTCACCGTCTTGGTGACTTCGGTTACGCGGTACAATACAAACTGGTTGCCAGTTTTCCGTCGACCATTGTATTTCTTCAGAGCTGCATCCACAGCCTTAAATACATCCTCATCATTGCAGTCAATTTCTTGTGGTTGATCCTCTTGGGCTAAACTTGTTAGCAGCGTGGAACAAAGGAAAAGGATGGCAATTAACTTCATGACTTATCAGTCTCCCTCTGCGAGTTTCACCAAGAATTGGAAGCTAGCTTGGAGGCTGATTTTAACTGTCTTTAGCCTCTTCTCTCTTCTGTCTCTCCTCTCTGCTTAACTTCCTACAGCCCTCCACTATTTGCCCTGTTACAAAAGGGCAAATGGCTCTGCTGGATTATCCAAGCAGATCTCAGGCCGGTACATTACAACATTGGGTCATTGACCTGCTTGTTTGCATTTGGAAGGCATGTGTGAGCACATTTCAGGGAAAGTGTGTAACTTTGCATAGCAAATCAGAGTACAATCCAATAAAGGAGCAGGGAAAAAAATCAACCATCTGTTATTTCGTTTCCCAAATGACTTTCCCAAAGCTATTCATGAAGGTCACTACAGGTGACAACAATGCAACCATGAGCAGACTCCTTTCAATAAAATTTCCTTGCCCTCATGGAGAGCCCATGCATAGGGACATAGTGAGTGCAGGAAGTCTTACACCAAGACACTGGCATGTCTGAAAATAAAAAACAGGCATCCTATCTGTTCTCTATCCAAGCTAGCCTCTCTCCACTCGACTGGATCTGCTGTAGAAAGGAAAATGTTCCCCAGGGTGGAGGAGACAGGGAAGAAACTTAAGGAGGGATGGTTTGAGTGAAGCCTGCTTACCTTGTCCTTCCTTCTTGTTTCTGGTTTGGTGGACTTTATAGGGGTCTTTCATTCACCAAGCCTAAGTGACCTTTCAGATCAAGTTAGACTATTCAGGGAGAGGAGGTCTGAAGGTAGGTTAAAGATATGGGCTAGTAGATGTTTGTCCTCAAATGTTACTCTCTTCCCCCAAAAAAGATGTTTGATGCTTTTGTTGTTGGTGATCGGATACCCAGCTTGGCAAGCCAATCTCCCTGAGAGCCCTTGGAAAAGAGGAACCTATGGGGGCTGAATGATGGCCTTGTAGCAGAGTGGCACGAATATGAGCTTGACAGTAAGCCCAACCTTGATTCCCATCCAGCTCTGCTACTTAACTGCTATATGCAAATCAGGGTCATATAGCCTTTCTGAGCTTCCATTTCCTAATCTAGAAAACTGAAATATGATATCTTATGAGGTTTTCTGAGGAGTAATGAAATAATATATGTCAGAGCCTAATATTAGGGCTGTTTGGTTAAGAATCCCTGACTTATTGAAGCAATTTCAGGTGTGTGATGATGGCAGAAGGTAGATTCTAGTGTGTGTGTGGCAGGGCCAGGGTGTGGTAGGAGATGTAGAAAATGAAACTAAGGATGAAAAAGACTCGGGTAAGTTCTTAGACTTGAAAGAGACACCCACAAAGATGGAGAAGCTGAGGGTGGGAGAGGGAGGAGATGACTGATGTGCAGGGTCCAGGAGGAGTTGGAAAGGAGCACAGGGCTGATCAGGGTGGGTGTTTCAAGTGAAGATTCAGAAACAGGACTTGCCAGTGTATACAGATGGCATAATAAACAGGAAAGCACGTGACTTTGGAGGAAACTGATCTGGGTTCTAATCCTAGGCCCAATTTTCTGACAATAACAAACACTTTTTAGCTATTGTGTAATAAAACAAATATAGAAAAGGAGCAATCAATGGTATCTTGTCTAAATCTCTAGTACAATGTAAGCTAACTAGAGTAGGGATGGTTTCTTACCCCATTATTCAGCTGCAGCAACTGTGTTTGCATATTATAAATGCATTCAATGGACATGAATTGGGGACATTCAATCCCATGTTTTCTAGGTACTATTTTCAATATTATAGTTCAGCCAATATTTGTGAAAGTATTTTATAAATTATAAAACACTACTGAAATGCTCCTGTGAGTTATTGAGGTATGCATTTTTTTAATTTTTTATTTATTTATTTATTTTTTTTGTCTTAGATTTCACCTTTCTTTACTCTCTATCTAAGCAGCCAACCCTGTGTTCATGCTTCTGGAGGAATGTGATTTTGCAAAGCAGACATTTGGCTGGAGCCTTCCTGGTTGTTTACAGCAGGTGACCATTCTAACTGGCTGTTGTACCAACTCTGTTGGTCAGAGCTGGTGTCATTTTGGTTATTAAATATTTCTGATATCATTGTGAGGTTTCAGGAAATAACATCTAGCTCTACTCTAGTTAGAAAAGGGAAATGGGATGCCTCCATCACAATTTTTTACAAAAGGAAAATAGGGCCCAAAGAGGTTTAATGACTTTCTTAGGATTTTATAGTCAATAAGTTGTAGTACTGGTATAAGAACCAGGATGGGCCTTCTTCAAAGTCACATGATTTTCCATTTTCTTATGCTGCTTGAATCCATTGCCAGATTTCTAATTTTATTAAGAAACTAGAGGCCTGGTGCATGAAATTCATGCATGGGGTTTGAGGCGTGGGTAGGTTATCCCTCAGCCCACCCTGCACCCTCTTCAATCTGGGAACCCTCAAGGGATGTCAGACTGTCCATTTAGGCCCAATCCTACCAGGATCAAGCCTAAACAGGCAGTGGGACATCTCTCACAATCCAGGACTGCTGACTCCCAACTGCTTGCCTGCCTGCTTTTCTGATTGCCCGAACTGCTTCTCCCTGCCAGCATGATTGACTCCTAACTGCTCCCCTGCCAGCCTGTTTGCCCCTAACTACACTCCCCTGAAGGCCTGGTCCCTTTCAACTGCCCTCCCCAGCTGGCCTGATCACCCACAAATGCCCTCCCTTGCAGACCTGGTCCCTCCCAACTGCCCTCTCATGCTGGCCATCTTGTATCCACATGGGGGCAGTCATCTTTGACCACATGGGGGCAGCCATCTCGTGTGTTGGAATGATGGTCAATTTGCATATTATTTTTTTATTAGATAAGATAAAGGCCTGGTACATGACTGGGGGCCAGCTGGTTTGTTCTGAAGAGTATCCTGCATCAAGGTGGGGGTTCCCTTGGGGTGTGGGACAGCCTGGGTGAAGAGCCTGTAGTGGTTTGCATGCTGGCCACACACCCCCAGGGACTCAAGCAGAGGCTCTGGTATCTGGGATTTATTTATCTTCCATAATTGAAACTTTGTAGCCTTAAGTGGAGCCAAGGCAGGCTAGAGTGGGCAGGAAGCTTGGCTTCCTCCATTGCCAGGGAAACCCAAGCCTCCAGCTCTCTCCATGGCTGCAGCCATATTGGTTGAGTTAATTTGCATACTCACTTCTGATTGGCTGGTGGGCATGGCTTGTGGGTATAGCAGAGGTATGGTCAATTTGCATGTTACTCTTTTATTAGATAGGACTAGAGCTTGGTGCATGAAATTCATGCATGGAGGTGTGTCCCTCGGCCCAGCCTGTCCCATCTCCAATCTGGGACCCCTACAGGGATGTCTGACTGCCCGTTTAGGCCCGATCCTATCAGGATCGGGCCTAAACGGGCAGTCAGACATCCCTCTCACAATACAGGACTGCTGGCTCCCAACTGCTTGCCTGCCTGCCTTCCTGATTGCCCCTAATCACTTCTGCCTGTCAGCCTGATCACCCCCTAACCACTCCCCTGCCAGAATGATTGATGTCTAACTGCTCCCCTGACAGCTGATTGCTCCTAACTGCTCTCTTGGTCACCCCTAACTGCCCTCCCTTACAGGCCTGGTCACCCCTAACTGCCATCCCCTGAAAGCCTGGTCGCCCCAACTGTCCTCCCCTGCAGGCCTGGTCTCCCCCATTTGCCCTTCCCTGCAGGATGGTTACCCCCAACTTCCCTCCTCTGCTGGCCTGGTCACCCCTAACTGCCCTCCCCTGCAAGCCATCTTGTGACAGCCATCTTGTGTCCACATGGGGACAGCCATTTCACCACATGGGGGCAGCCATCTTGTGTGTTGGAGTGATGGTCAATTTGCATATTACTCTTTTATTATATAAGATAATTAACATACATTCTTGTCTAAGTTTAAGGTATTCCACATGATACTTTGATTTACATATCTTTTAAAATGATTATAATAGTTTTAGTTAATATTAATCCTCTCATGTAGAATAATAAAAAAAGATTTCTTCTTGTGATGAGAATTCTTAGAATCTACTCTCTGAGCATCTTGCCTATATATCATGCAGCAGTGTTAAACTTAGACATGATTCTATAAATTTCACCTTAGTCCTCCCTTCTCTTAAAACTGGAAGTTTGCATCTTTTGATCACCTTCCTCCAAGTCCTGTTTCTGAGTCTGCACTTGAAGCACTCACTGTAATCAGCCTTGGGCTCCTTTCCACTCCTCCTGGACCATGCACATCAGTCATCTCCCACCCTCAACTTCTGCATCTTGTGGGTCCCTCTTTCTTCCCACCCCAATACCTTATCCAAGATTCTTTCACCCTTAGTTGTTTTTTTTTTTTTCTTTCTCTCCCTTCTCCCATTATAATCTATGCTACCACCACCACACACTTGAAACTGCTTCAATAAGTCAGATAGAAAGAATCTAACGTCTTATTAGCTTGAGTTTAAATGCTTGAATCTAGTTCGGGAAGAAGGAAAAAGAAAATTCAAATGTGAAAAAAATGTGCCCTGGCATTAAAAATGAATAAAGAAAACTTTATGAGGCTAGAAAAGCCCCTACCATGGGAGAAGGTATGAGAAGAACAGAGGAGTTTGGGGATCTGGAAGCAGAGGACATCTATGCCTTGCTTTCTGGACTTATAGCCTTACAAACAGCAAGATCCCAGAGGGAGATGAATATGGTATTTTTGGCAGTCATGTTTATCAGTAGTTTTGGAGAGATTCCTTCACCCCCAGGTGGTGAACCAGTGAGGAAGAATCAGGCCTTCTTTTCATGCTCATCATCCAAACACCTGGGACTATGTGAGACTCTTGAACTATGGCATTCTTTGTGTGGGGAGCAGCAGGGAGTGGAAACTCTAGGAAGAACTTAGGTTAAGTTTTCTATTAACCCAGCAGGATGAAAATTTGAAATATAAATTAACTAGAGGCCTGGTGCACAAAATTCATGCATAGGGGTTGGGGGCCTCTCAGCCTGGCCTTCACCCTCTCCAATCCGGGACCCCTTAGGTGAATCTGACTGCTGGTTTAAGCCAGATCCCTGCCGGGGCTCTGTGATCAATTGAAGAGCAGAGGGAGATCCTTCCCACCTGGCCTGAGCTCCATCATTGATACTCGCCCACAAGGAGGCCCTGCACACCCTGAACGCCCTGCCAGGGCCCTGTCATCAATACTCCAGAGAGGGAGGCCCTGCCCACCTGGCCGGTGCCCTTCGATGGGCCCTCCCAGCCATGATGGCTTTCCTCAGCCCTTGCACCCAGTGGCTTTGTCTGGAAAGACATCCAGTCTAATTAGCATATTAACCTTTTATTAGTATAGATGTTTTGAAAATAAAGTGATATTTCTGAATTTATGCACTTGAATTTATGTTCATGATTCATGCCTATAACTTCTTTGACAATTATATCCTGAGGTTTTTTTGTTTTGTTTTTTTAATAATTAAATTTAGAACTTATTTCTCCAAATAAAAGGGGATTTAGAGATCTAGAAAGGAGAAGTAGGAGTGGATTTGGATCACTTTTACTATAGAACAATTCTTTATATGAAAATAAATACTTTCATGGTGTGCCCATCTACAGCATAAGTACTAAAAGAAGAATGATGTTAAAATTAAGAGTTGAGCCCAGGAAGTAAAGAAAATCTGAGGATCAGATATTTGTCTTGAGTAGTATAGTAGCCAGTGAGAGAATTACCTTTGGCTTGGGATACTGAGATTTTTTTTTTTTCCCTCTCCATTTTTCTTGTTCTTCTCACATCATCTCCCCTATCCACATTTTTTCCTGTTCTGAATATGGAAGTTAAGATTACAATAATCTGTATTGTTGCATTTATAATTGGTTACATTTTTTTTTATGGTTCTAATTCAGAACATTACTCATTTTTTAAAGAACTCAGATTTCTTTTTGGAAATGTTTCTTTAAAAAAACTTTGAAATTTGTGGAAATTCACTCTTGAACATCCCTGGACATAATTCAGAGGCTGATTGAGGGAAGGGCTGAATTTCTGACTTTAGATGATGGCTGTGGTTTGGCAATGAGAAGCTGGGAAAATTGGCTTCAGGAGCAGGAAGAACTTCACCTTTCTTTAACGGAGGGAGTCGGTAAACATATCCAATTTCTCTCCATTTTAAGGCGAAGTGTCCTTTTCCTGGACTTTTTTTTTCTGAGTGCCTAGGTGGTGGGCCATGGCCCTGGTGATAGCGATCTTGGGGTTCTTGACTATGGGGCGGTGGGTCACAGGGTCCATTGTCATAAAAACCATGACCATCAGGATGATGTCCATGGGGATGGTTTCCATGGGGACGGTGTCCATGGGGACGGTGTCCGTGGTGATGGTGTCCGTGGTGATGATGTCCATGGGGACGGTGTCCATGGGGATGATGTCCATGGGGATGATGTCCATGGGGATGGTGCTCATTGGAACTATGATTTTGAGGGGGTGCATGTGTGCCATTGGTGCCAAAATGGAGGTGATGGCATCTTGAAGGGGGCAATCGTGAAGGAGCTCCTGCTTGAAGTGGTGGTCTGTCTGAGTGATTTTTGTCATCCAGAGGAGGTGGGCATCCAGATTCATGTGACTTGTGGCGATTGAGGTTATCTCTGGATCTATTGTGTGTAAATGGAGTCTTGCTAGCAGAGAAATGCCTATGGCCTCCAGAGTGGAGGGGACGGTCCAGATGGGGTTTTACATCACTTATGTTTCTATGTTCCTGGTGAAGGACATAGAAAAGTGAATATCATCATGTAAAGAAGAAATGAGATGTTTAACTTGATTTTCATTCAACTAAATCCATACTTTTGGATTGCAGGAATAAATCTTAAAAGTAGGTATCAAAAAAGGGTTCTCATATTTTTATCTAGGCAAGTTCGTATTTAAAATACAAACAAAAATCATCACTTACCACCATCATTTCACAATAGCAATATTTTATAATGACAGTCAGAAAGATAATCCCAGAGTAAAGGATGGTTCTTTTATATATACAGTAAGTCCCCAGGTTATGTCGGAGGTCCATTCCTAAGGTGATGTAACTTTTTGCCGTAAGTTGGAACCCACTTATATAAGCACCTACTTCACTCACATGGAGCACATATACAGCAGTAATGAAGTGAAACAGTAAAAAAAAAAAAACATTTTAAAGAAAGATAACAATTCCTTACCTTTGCTTGTGGTACATATAGTAAATAATAAAAAACATAAAGCACATATGTACAAACGTCAAAATGACGGAACTTTTTTTTAAAAGAAATGAATGGGAGATGGTGACACAACCACTAAATGATGTACGTCGAGTTGACATAACCAAAGGACTGCCTGTAATATGTTCTACCACAAAATAATTTTTTCTTACTATTGTTATTTTTCTCATTTCCATATAAAGTGATAAAATTATATTACAGAATGGTACTCATCTGTAGATCAACATTTGGAAAACTAGTGCCTTATAATTTCTGCTCTCAACAGAGTTCTGAGACTCTCTGGTATAAGCATCTCTTTCTTCTGAAAAACGAGCACTTCACCTCTTCACTATCTTTATTCAGGTTTTATTTGTTTGTTTAAATATATTTTATTGATTTTATTACAAAGAGGTAGAGAGAGGGATAGAGAGTTAGAAACATCCATGAGAGAGAAACATCCATCAGCTGCCTCCTGCACACTCCCTATTGCGGATGTGCCTGCAACCAAGGTACATGCCCTTGACTGGAATCAAACCTGGAACTTTTAGTCCACAAACCAACACTATATCCACTGAGCCAAACTGGTTAAGGCTCCTTATTCAGGTTTTAATATTTAAAAAAATATGTGCAGCCATCCCCATGGTAATAAACTTGCACCCCTTTTTGATTTGTCACATGGATGTTTGAATTATTTTTTTCTAATATAAAAAATTCTGTGAAGAATATTTGTGCGTAGAACAAAAATTTCTAGACACCGATATTCTACTAAAATGTTGTTTTGTATTTTATATATGTTTATATAATAAACTTGACACAAATTCATTACCCTTATATTCTGTGCCTAATAATAAAACTAGATTATTAAGTCAGCAATGGAGTCTTAGCTACAAGAACCATTTTCAAATTCATTAAAGGTTGGTTAAATTGGTCATGATTTTACTTGTATGCCAAATCTTACACTTTCCAAATTCTTGAAAAAAGTGTCACACTTTTGGTGTCTTACCAACAATTGTACAACTTCTCCAGGGGTTTTTCTCCCCCCTCCCTGCTGCCCCACCACATCTCATTTCTCTCTCAATCCCTCTCTCTCTCTCTCTCTCTCTCTCTCTCTCTCTCTCTCTCTCTCTCTCTCTCTCTCTCTCTCTCTTTCTCTTTCTCTCATACACACACACACACACACACACACACACACACACACAAAACCATAAGAACAAAATACACTATGTGTGTGAAAACATTAGTCTGGCACTGCTCATGACAAAGGTTGCTTAGATAACTCACCTTAAGGTTGAAGACTTCACAGTTTGTGTCAACCCCTATTGGTGTTTCCATGTCAGAGGCCTCTACATCATAAGACAAAACTGATCTGCAGAATCCAAAGACCTATAAATAAGACATAAACCTGTTAGTGTATGTGTATTTGTGTGTATGTGTGCAGGTGGTATGTGAAGGTGCCCAGCTAGAGTTGTGAACTTCCAGACATTCTGGAAAGGAAGGGGAGCTCTAGAAAAATCAAGTTAATATCATTAAATATCTCCACCAGTTATTTAACAATATTTTCTAGTCAACACTTTGGGGAAAGTACAGGTTCCAAAGATTTTCATTACTGCTGTAGTTCTCTTCCATTACTGGTCACTATCACTGGCCTTCCCCAGGGGTGGTAGTTGGGAATATTATGTCACTGATGCTTCAGTGTTAGATCAGCTCTTTTGCACTGAAGACCTGAGTTGCCTGTGCCTAGAGAAAAAGAAGATTTATGTAGAAGCGAGATTTGTACACTTTAGCCAAGACCCTTGGGAAAGTTTTGGAAAAAAGGGAGCCATTATAAAAATGGGTTTGCACAGACCCTGTCAAAGAGACTCATCTGGCCCTACCCTAAGTTCAGATGCTACACCTGCCTGACACCCCTCTGCCCCAGAGATCCCTAAACCCCACTGTCAAAGTTACAAGTAGAAAACTCCTTTTTTGAGAAGACTGTTAAGCAGTAAGATTTTGAGTACAGCCCTATCCAGTTTGGTTCAGTGGATAGAGTGTCAACTGGGGACCAAAGGGTCCCGGGTTTGATTCTGGTCAAGAGTGCTTTATTGGTTGCAGACTCCTCCCTGGTCCCATGCCCTGGTCAGGGCTTGTGCAGGAGGCAACCAATTGATGTGTCTCTCTCACATCGATGTCTCTCTCTATCTTTCCCTAAAAATCAAAGGGAAAATAAACTTTGGCAAGGATTAACAAAAAACAACAAGAAGAAAAAAAATTTGTGTACAGTTTTGGAGTCAGATAGACCTATGTTAATCCTGGCTCCATCATGTACTAGTTCTATGAGATTTAGGTAAGTTGCATAAAATTTCCGAAACTCAGTCTTTATTTCTAAAATGAGTACACTACTATCTACCCACAGGTTGTGGGAGAGCTTAATCAAATGAAATAATGCTATAGAACATTTATCATTGAGCTCCTCTTCTCCAGCCTCCATGTTTCTGCACTGAGTTTGCATTCTCCACATCAAGATAGTTAAGGATTTGTTGGGGTCAAGGGGATAGTCACAGGCATCCAACAAAGCAATAATATTTGGTAGTGGTTTTTAAACTATAGCTTGCTATACAAATGCTGCTTATCATTTATACTTTCTGTAGGCACATGATATCAGTTTATACATGAGTAGCGGGGAAAATCCCATTGACTGAGCATCTTGGTTGTGAACATTAGGCAAAAGCCTTACTTTACTGAGCCCATTACCTTCCCATTTGTCAAATGTGGTCACTGTGAGAAGCAAATGAAATGAAGTGAATGAAAGCACCCATGAGTATAGGTTCTTAATACATTCTAGTTATTAGTATTAGCTGTCTTTAATCCTGATGAGTTAAAAAAAAAACCTTCATTGTTAAGTTTAGGTTTATATCATGTATATTTATGAAATAATATTCTCATTAGTTTTGTCACCATGCCTCAGTCTCCCCATAGGTAAATCTGGGAGAAAATTGCTATATGTTTCATAGGGTAGTGGTGGGGATAATAGGCTAACATACGGGTAAACCTTTTCTAGGGTATCTGGCGCATAGTAAGTAGTCTCCAAATGTTACCAGGTATTCCACACTTATATTATACTCACATTATGGTGCCTGCGAAAATGGTGACTGGAGCAGTTCCTCACAGAGAAGTCAATATAGTAATTGGTTCTTCTCCCTCCTCTCTAGAACAAATAGGATCAAAGCAGTTTCAGGAACATATTTAAAAAGCTATTAGATACCTATTATCCAATATACTGGAAAGGCACTATCAGGATCCACCAATATGTGCCATTCTTCTTATTTTCTGGGTCTTTTTAAAATTTATCAAGTGATAAGATAAATACTATTTGATTGAAAAAGCTCAGATAATACAAACATAATCAAGCATAGTGTGAAAAGTCATTCTTCCTGTACCCCAGCCTCTTCCTCTCAGAGGTACCACCATCATCTATTTGATATGTTTTTCCTTCTAGCCTTTTCCTAAATGTGTTGTGTATATACACACATATCTAGTTGTTTAATATAAAGGGGATCCTAGTCTAAGTATTATTCTGTAACCTGCTTTTCTCCCTTGGCAATATAGGTCCAAAAACCTTCTTTTTAGTACGTAATTGCATTGTACTGATCCCATTGCTTGTATGCAACATTATCTATCTCACTTTGTGTTTTCAGAATAGAAGACAACATAAACTAGCTGTTCTACAAGACTGTTATGGGTGGGAGGCACTTGAGTCCCTGGATGGGGAAGGACTGCCTGGCTCTCGCCATTCCACTGGATGTGGTGAGGAAGTTGCTCTGAGCTTGTTTTCCATCATAATACAAAGAGAATAGGACTAGATCAGTGGTCTTCAAACTCATTAGTCAACAAAGCCAAATATCAACATACAACGATGGAAATTTCTTTTGAGAGCCCAGTTTTTTAAACTTAAACTATATAGTTAAGTACATTTTTATTAACTTAATTAGGGTACTCCTAACTGGCCTTTGCTAAAAACTCAAGGGGCCAAAGAGCTGCATGTGACTCGAGAGTCACGGTTTGCCCACCACTGGACTAGATGATTTTAATGACTCATAACCCTAGTATTCTCTTCAGCATTTTGCTCTTTTTTCATTTGGATTTTCCATCTCTCTGTTGATATCACACTCTCCACATCTCCAAAAATTAAAAAAAAAATTGCAGGAGGGTAGTTCTGTGGTATCTGCTGTCTGTCTCTTAAAACTGCAACAGGAGGCAAGAGCAATTGGTCAAGAGGGAAGCATAACAAAGGGGAACAAGAAATTATTGGGGGTGATGGATATGTTCACTATCTTATGTGTGGTGTTGTGTTCATTGGTATATAAATATATTAGAATTATCAAATGGTATATTCTAACTAAATATATGCTGTTTATTAAATGTCAATTACACCTCAATAAAGTTGCTATTGTATTAAAACAAGCAAACAAACAAAGCAGCTTGTTTTTGTCTTTCTCTGTCTGGCTTATTTCACTTAGCATTGTACCCTCTACATTGTCACAAATGGTAAGATTTAATTCCTTTTTTGCTAAGTAATGTTTTATAAATATATAATACATATTCTTTATCTAATCACCTATCAGTAGGCACTTAGGTTGCTTCCATATCTTGTCTGTTGTAAATAATGCTGCAATGAATTTAAGGATGCATGTATTTTTTTGAATTTGTATACACTTGAAACTAATATTATATTGAATGTTACCTATAATAATAAAAATCATCTGGCCCAAGAAGGCCAGTAGGGAGAGGGTCAATGTAAATGAATTTGTGCCTGCAAGGTTGGAGCCTGGGCCCTCAGACTCCAGTTGAACATTAGTGGAAACTCACGCCTCTGCCAACTCTCTCCACTTGGTCCACTCTGAAAGAAGCAAAGTCACCATTCTCCTTTCTGTATATCTCAAGGGCTTTCTCTGCTTGTTTTCTGTAGACCTCAGTCTCCTCAAAGAAATCCAAGAGTACAGGGCTGTCTTTAGTATTGGCCAATGCAGAAAAGACTGGAGAAAGAAGATGGCAGTTTTGTGGTTAAAAAGCACTGTCAATGCTGTGACTTAATACATATATGCATGGTAGAAACTATAACAATAGCTCCTGTTTTACAGATGGGTGAATTGAGCATTGGAGAGGCTAAGAAACTTGTTCTAGCAAATCACCTAATCAGCAGCAGAGCTAAACTTAAACACAGATCCTTCTGCTGCTCAAGTCTCAGTCATTACCCTATTCATATGCCCCAATCCCATCATTCATAAAGTGTGTAAATATTTTAATGAACTTTTCCTATCTCTGCCAAGGAGGAAGAGCATCATTAAAGTGAAGTTGTGCCCAGAGAGAGAAGGTACAGCTCAGTCTTCTTTAAGGAAAACTCCTGGAATTGCTCAGCTGCTGAATTTTTGTATATTGAATTATGCTAAAATTTGCTATTTTTAAAGGAACTCTGTGATAATTCTCTTAGAAAAAGTAAATAAAAAGAACAGGGACTATCGAGTCAATACTGGTGGGATAGGTTAAGGTTCATTACATTTTGGCTATTTTATGAGGCCAAATAATTTAATCTCTCTGAAACTCTTTTATAAAGTTAAAATAGAAAGTTACATAGTCTTATGAGGTTAAATGAGACTACTGTAAAAACTGTAGTATTAATACATAAGTTTCAGATGTTGAAGTCAACATATTGTTAAGTCCTTTGGAAGTGTACTATACAGAGCATCTTATTTAATTCTAACAAAGACTCAATGAGCTACTACTATTATTAGCTTTGTTTTACACATGAGAAATCCTTAAAGAGGTTAGGTAACTTTCCCTCAAGACCATGCAACTAGTAAGTTATGAGACTGGAATTCAAATTCAAGCAAATCTGACCTAGACAGAACCCAGGTTCTCTATAATGATGCTCCACTCACTGCCTTATATAGCTTTCTATTTTTATATATTTAATTTTTTGAAAAATGTATCAATAATAGGAGGAAGCCCTCTTGTGAGTTTTTAGGAGAGTGAGTAATAATCAAGTCCATGAGCATAGTTAGGAACTATTTTTGATATGTACATCATAGTATTATATGTTAAACTAGGGGCCCAGTACACAAAGATTCGTGCATAGGGGGTGGGTCTCTCAGCCGGACCTGCAACTTCTCCAATCTGGGAGCCCTCAGGAGAGCTCTCTCCAATGCCCAAGTTTCTGTCTGTGTTTGCAATCATATGAGCAAATTGTCTGATACCGCCACCCAGTTTGGTTTTTGTTGCTCACCGAACAATAAAGGCTTTTTTTTCTTCTTTGTTTCATTGGTGGAGATTTCCTAGAAGTTTTAGGATGTCTTCCCTTTGATTTTTCCTAGACACTGATTTACTTAGGTCTCTCACTTTTGCTTTCCCTCCGTCCCCCACCTTAAAGAGATTAGGTAACTTTCAACAACAGTAACTTGTGCCAGGCTCACTTTGCTTTAGTGTCTAGCATATCCCTCTGCCATTAGAACTATGATTTCAGCATTCCTGGTGCTCCCCGTACTCTGGGCTTCTGCTTCCAATCCTGAGGCTGCCACCAGAACAACTATTCCCAGAATTCCTGGTGCTCCCTCACTCTTGGTTTTCCCCTTCTGCTCCATCTCTGTCCTAAGGCCTCTAGCCCTGCCAAGTTCCCCAAGCCGCTCCACTCTCCACTGGCTCTCCTGCTCCACTCTCCGCCTGGTACCTTTGTATGCAAATTAACCAGCCATTTTGCTGGGTTAATTTGCATACTCACTCCTGATTGGCTGGTGAGCATAGCAAATCAATTTACATGTTTCTCTTTTATTATATAGGATACCACTGTATGATTGAAATCTATATCAATCTAGAATTAAGTAGTATTTTAATAGATTATTGTACCAGAGCTTGTGGTGCAGTTGAAGTCATTCACTCTAAGATCCTGAAATTCACTCAAATGTGTGGTAGCTATTACCTTACACTGTCCAATCACCTGTAAAAAAGAGGAGTTTATTATTATGTATTACTTTCTTCAGGTTGAAAAAAACACAAAAAGTAATGCAACATCCCTTATTGTCCTTTAAAATTTATTTTTGGTTTCTCAACAAATCCTCTTTCAAACCTGTATTTTCTTAATCTGTTTCTGTGAGAGTTAGATGTCAGAAGCACCCAAAACCCTCATGAGAACCACATATAAACTGTTTTAACAGGTCATGGCATTATCTCAAACATTTTCAAGACAAGAAAAAAATACTATAATTTCTAGGTATGTAAGTGTCTTATTTTCTGGAACTAAAATCTTAGATCTGTGCTTTTTATCTTTGTGTTCTTCTCCTGTGGCAGACAGCCTGGGACCTGATTATCCATGTGCAAAGCAACACGGGATCTAGTTCCTCATGATAATTGCAATTAATCATTCCTCCTCCTGGGACCAGTCTTCATAGGACACAATTACAAGTGTGTCCTAGGTTCTACACCCAAAGACTGTCAGGGCCAAAGAGGATCTTAGAGTTTATCTATTCCAACCTCCTCCTCTTATTTTACAGCCCAGGACATGGACATCTAGCAACATTAGGCGATTTGCACAAAATTGCTGGTCATGCTAAAACAAGCCCCACTGACATATCTTGAACTGGATTCCTAGGTGAGGCTCTCAAGAGAATATTATTCAAGGTCAACATAATCTTCAAGAGTCAAAAGACAAAAACCGCTCTTCCTCTTTTGCTGTGGCATTCTGCTACCCTGGGAAAACAGAGTAGACAGAAGTCAAGAATAATAAAAAGAGGGAATTGTACCATGTTTACTTACTATATCATGTAGATATCTAGAAATATTTGCCTCACAGTCATCCCAGTGTTTCCTGGATTGGACTGGACAGTCAGATTCTTTGACATCTAAGACTAAATAATAGACATCTGTGGATTCCTGAAAAAATTCCAAGAGAACAACAGGTGAGGAACATGTGGGAGCCCAGTATGTTTTCATTAGAAACAATCTCTTGATTTCTTAAACAGAACTTCTGTTCCTTTCCAAATCATTGCAGATGTTTATTTTTGTGTCATTTGATCTATTTATTTGAATAAATAGCTTAAAAAAGTTATCTATTCAAATAAATAGTTATTTATTCCAATGTTCTTTTTAAGTGGCCATGATGTTGCTTCTGTTTATGAGCTTTAACAAACAATCACTAAATTGTACCATTATTTTGGGCGGAGATGTAAACCTAGAAATTATAAGTGATGAGAGCCACACCATGAGCTTCAATCTGTATGCACAATTTTGTCCTTTCACCCAGCTCTTACCTGAACTTGGACTTCTTGACTTAATTTCAACTTGCCCAAAATCAGCTCTTCTCTTACAAACTAGCTACCTCTCTCAATTTATCTTGCCTTTTCTCAATGACACCATTAATTATTTCTTGCCTTAATCTTTGGATTTAAAAAAATGTGACATCAGCTTTGAGTTCTTTCTTTGCTTTTGCTATCCAGTCACCAGATCTTGAATGATCTTTCTTTGAAATGTCTCATGTCTTTTTTTAATTCTCATTGCCATAAGTCCCACCTACGATTACCTTAGGGAGTCACAGATTACCTTAGGGAGTGCTAAAAGTGTGGGACACATTTTGAATTTTATTTGATATTGAGCTGTTAATATTAAAAATAATATTTTCTAGGTCTGTCTTCATTTCCTCATTCTGAAATACATAATATAGTTTTCTAGTTTAATCCCCTGCCACCTGCATCTATCTCCCCACGTACACTGTGCTCCCTGCTCCCACTCAAAGGTAGCCCCGGGTCAATTCATCCTGTGTCCTATAATGTGGCAGAGATCCTGGACTGGGACTAGAGGTCACTAAGTTGCTGTTTGAATCCTGAATCCCTGCACTCATTCTCTGCAACCTGTAGAGCCTCCACATCTAATACTTCAACAAGCATCAAGTTATCTGCTTGTCCTCTTTGGTGCTCTATTATCTGACCTCTCTGATTTTAGTGGTTCCTCCAAAGGGTACGTTATTTTGGGGAGTAGGGAAGAGTGGCCTCCCTCTTTCATCTCTATCAAGCCCTCAAATCTATTCCAAATAAGTATATAATCTATGGCAGTGATTTTCAATATTTTCATCTCATAGCACATATAAACTTATTACTAAAATTCTCTGGTGCACACAAGTTTGTTGTTGTTTGGCCGATTGGACAAAAAAAAAGAGAAAAAAAAAGAAATAATTTTGATTCATTCACATTGAACAGCTTTGGTGTGTTGGCTACTGCCTTTTTTCATTTGACAATCTAAGGGACAAGAGTTCAGTACCCCCCACTTAATAGTCAGGTATTTCATGTTTTAAAAATTCCTGTGGCACACCAGTTGAAAATTGCTGATCAAAGTGAAGACTGTAGGCTTGCTTTGCAAGATAAGGCTACATTCTTTCTTCCACCCTGCTTGCTGTGCCAAATCTCACATAGAACTTCTGGAATTGCCCTGCTTGTGTCTAATTACTCCCTAATACTCTCCTTCCTGATTTTTCACTCACAGAGAGGTGGTAGTCTTGGAATTTCCCTGCGATGATTTTAACCCAGCCCAACTTCCTGTTCAAATCCTAAATGAAGCATTCTCTCATTCAGTGATAATAGTTCTCTAATTGTCCCACATCTATAATATTCACTCGGTCAATTAAATATATCCTACCTTACACAGTGTGTGTGTGTGTGTGTGTGTGTGTGTGTGTGTGTGAGAGAGAGAGAGAGAGAGAGAGAGAGAGAGAGAGAGAGAGAGAGAGAGAGAGGGAATGTGTGAGCTGATACTTATTTCCTTAAGGTTAGGCTTACAGTTCATTCTACTTTTTCTCTTATAGCACTTAGCATTTGAGTGGACTCAGCATCAGTGCTTATAAGTATTCACAGATTGATTTATTGTTAAGGATATACTAATAACAGATGTTAGTGTGGAAAAAAAAAAAAGAAGAAGAAGAAAAAGAAGATTCTAGAGCAGCAGCAGAAACCAAACAGAAAACCCTGACCAAGGCCATTCCATTGTGCAAAGCAGTAGGCTTAGTGGCTAGATTCACACTTGCCCCTGGTACATAGTTTCCCAATTTAGTTCTGCCATTGGCAATTCCTTACCGTTTTGTCCAAGTGGGCATCAGCGACCCTCAGCAACTGAAAAAGGTAGCCATTCGAACGTCCTTTATTGATCATGTCTAGTGCTTTCATAGCCAGAGGCTCAGTAGCATTGCAGTTTATGGGACTCATAGCACAGGAATATCTAAGTGCGATCCAAAGGATGGAAAGCAGAGCTGCAGTTAATGTCTTCATTTTGTTAAAATGGGAAAACTATCCCTTACTATGGTATACAACAGCAGAGAGTTTTATAGAGACTTTTTAAACACACACACACACACACACACACACACACACACACTATTGATTAATCAGTCTTTATACATTTTTGTTGTGTAAACTGAATGTTCACATTGACCCCTGGGTTAAAATCTCTGTCACCATGCCGTAAATGATTAATGGGTTCTGGGAACAGAAAGTTGAGACATGCCTCTGATGTGTGGGTGAGATTGTGAGCTGAACAAATCTGGATATTTCTAGTAGGTACAAGGTCCAAAGTGTTTTTGACCATAAGCACTGCCTCATTCATTGGTGTGGGGGGTAAGGTTAGCAGTAATTTTCCTCCATCTGCAGGCCTGTCTCAGCCAGGGATTATCACAATCAGTCTCATTATTAAATTATAGACATAGAAGTTTTTAGCAAAAACAGCTATATTATTTAAGGGAGGACCTGAGTTCAGGTAGAATAAAATGATTAAGAGCCTGTTGCTTTGGGGTCAGATGTGAATTTCATCTCTGGATGGTTACCCTCTTCCTGTGTGATGCTGGGTAAGCTATGAAACATCTCTGAGCCTTCATTTCTTCATGTATAAAATGGAAACTAATACCTTCTGACAGGCTTGTATAATAATTTAATAAGAAAACATAAAGTAAATAATACAATTCTTGGCAGAGATTCAAGTGCTAAATTAAATGATGCTATTGATTATTATTTTTGTTGTTGTTATTATGATTATTATTGTTGTTGTGCCTGAGAAGAAGTTGAGGACACCAGCTATCATCTCAGTTCTCTATGGCTCTTGAAACATGTCAAAAATATTGTTTCCTGTGGAAAAGAACTGTGGTGAGGGTAGAAATCCAGCCATTTGATGCCCACCTATCCCAGAGAAGGGGTTAGAGTGTTTACACAATGGGAATAGGGGCTCTGCATTGGGGAACAGAGCTGAGATTAAGCTGACCCCTCAGCCCTATTATTCCAAAGAAACAATATACCTACATGGATCCTTCATACCAGGAGAACCCAGTAACATCAGACCAGAGGGAATCAGCCCAGACTTTCTTCCCACTTAGACAGCATCTCTCTTCCTGCTCTCTTCTCTGTAGTGAGTGTCTATAAGGGTCCACACCATTGGTGCTCAGCCTTAGCTCAGATTGTCTGAGGAGTTTTGAAAAGTCCTTATGTCCAGGCCTCCCCTGAGAGCAATTCAACCTGGATCTTTGGTTATTAAACCCAGGAATTAGTAGTTTTGAAACTCTAAGATGATTCAAATGTGCAGTCAAGGTTGAAAATGATGGAGGCACCAGACAGAACCTGAAAGGATTTCAAAGAGAGAGGGAAAGGGCAGGGTACAGCATACAAAGAGCAGACCATACTTCCCAGAGTCACAGATTGGCTTAGGGAGTGCTAAAAGTGGAAGGGACACAGTTTGACTTTTGTTTGATATTGAGCTGTTAATATTAACAACACTAGCTTTTAAATACCCAAACAGTACCACCCCAGTGCAATGACTGGAAAAGTATGAAATCTGGCCACGGTGTTATTAAGGGGGTCTCACAAAGGTGGGTTGTGGGAATGCTATTGATTAAAATAAAAACTGTTTTATGCTTCAATGAGTTGAGTTCCTTAATTAAGTCTTGCAATTATTGATGTATTTGTCATGTCCAATATAGAGTGCCATGGACAATCAGATTCTGGTAAAGGGAAAGAAATGGGGCAGGGAAAAGCCACCACCAATGAGAATAAGCTCTTTCTACAGTATTGTTTTGCTAAGACTTAGGGGTACTCACGAGAACCATGCCTTCTCTCCCCCTTGCTTTACTGAATCTTAAATACAGACACAATGCTAGTGATGCCACCCTGTTATGGGGTAGTTTCAGATGACACAGACATCTCAGGGAGCCAGTGAATGTGCTAGGGTGGCAATGGTCAGGAGGAGAAAGACTGATGGTGAGTAGTAGAGTTGATCTTTCCTGGGAATTATCTGATCTAATGTTGTGGCAGAATGTATGAGAGAATGAAGAGCCAGAACTATGAGCAAGAACCTTTAACCTTTCTTTTGCAGATCTACTAGTCCAGGGGAATTTTGGATCCAAAGCCTGAACTGAACTGGGATGGCTCTGGCATATATATCTCCTCATGTAGTGGGTGCCTGAGTGTCCCTGCAGCTCCATCCAAGTCAGCTGTGGCTGGGCCCTGGGGTTAGGCTCTGCAGGTCCGCCCAAGTCAGTCAGAGTGGGGAAGAAAGACTACAGTTTTAATCAGATGCTAAACTAGGTTGCAAATCCCTCCCACCCTCTCACCCCCACCACCTCCCACATTCCTTTTCACTAGGTAGTGACATTTAGCATTGGTGAAGCTTCTGGCAGTCCTGAGCCAGAGAATGGTCAATGGTGTGGAATGCACAGGGGACTAGTGACTTTTCATAAGATGATTATCAGGGCAGCTGGGGTAGATAGATCTTCACCTCCATGTGTTCTTTCTGCATGCAGGTACTTTCTGGGTGTCCTGGTTATAAGGTCAGGAAAGTCAGGAACAGAATTTTTATTATTTTTGTTGTTGTTAATCCTCACCCAAGAATATTTTTCCTTTGATTTTTAAAGAGAGTAGAAGGGAGGGGGAGAGAGAAAAACATCTATTTCAGAGAGACACATAGATTGGTTGCCTCCAACATTTCCACATAAGCCCCAGATTGAGCCTACAACCAAGATACATGCCCTTGACCAGAATTGAACCTGGGACCCTTCAGTCTGTGGGCCAATGCTCCCTTCAGCAGGGCCAGGATTTGTATTCTTATTTTTTTTTAAATAAACCTTTATTGTTCATATTATTACAAAAGTTCCTCATTTTTTCCCCCCTCCACCAGGTTCCTACCCGACCCTCTACCCTTTCCCCACCCCCCATTGTCCTCCTCTATAGGTGCATAGTTTATGTTCAGTCTCTTCTTGAACCCCCCACTCCTCTTTTCCCTGAGAATCATAAGTCCACTCTCCTTTAATACCTCTGATTCTATTATATTCAACAGTTAATATTGTTCATCAGGTTTTTTTAATACCCTTGGTTTTTAGATTCACTTGTTGATAATTATGTATTTGTTGTTCATAATTTTTGTCTTTATTTTCTTTCTATTCCCTTCAGCAATTCAAATTATTCTGGTTTGGCGGTGATGAACTCCTTTAGCTTTGTTTTTTTTTTTGTTTTGTTTTTTTAGTGTAGCTCTTTATATGGCCTTCGATTCTGAGTGCTAGCTTTATTGGGTAGATTATTTTTGGCTGTATGTTCTTGCTATTCATCACCTTGAATATTTCTTGCCATTCCTGTCTTGCCTGCATAGTTTCTGTTGAGAAATCAGCTGACAATCGTATGGGTGTTCCTTTATAGGTAACTACCTGTTTCTTGCTGCTTTTAATATTCTCTCTTTGCCTTTTGCTCTTGAAATTTTAATTATGATGTGTCTTGGTGTGGTCCTCTTTGGATTTCTTTTCTTTGGGGTTCTGTGCGCTTCCTGGACTTGTAAGTCTAATTCTTTCACCAAGTGGGGGAAGTTTTCTGTCACTATTTCTTTCAATATGTTTTCTGTATCTTGCTCTCTCTCTTCTTCTGGGACCCCCATAATTCTGATGTTGGTTTGCTTGAAATTGTCCCAGAGGTTTTTTACATTATCTTCAACTTTCTGGATTCTCTTGTCTTCTTGCTTCTGCGGAGGAGTATTTTCTGGCTCTTTATGTTCCAAATCTTTGACTTGATTCTTGTGATCTTCCATTCTGTTTTTAGGACTCTGTATAATATTTTTTTTATTTCAGAGAATGTATTCTTTATTTCTTGTTGATCCCTTATTATTTCTTGTTGATTCCTTATTATTTCTAATTGATCCCTTTTCATATCCTCATAGGTCTTATCAACCTTTTCTAGGAAATTCTTGAAAAACCTTATAAGCGTGGTTTTGAACTCTATATCCAGTCACTTTTTGTCCTCCATTTCTTTTGTTTGTGATCTGTTTCCTTGTCTCAGCATTTTTGCAGCTTCCCTGAGTTGGTAGCCTTAAAGGTCTCTGTGTTCTGCTTGGATTGGGGCGGAGTTTCAGGGTGGAGCCTACAGCCTTGGCTTCCGTCAGCCACACCCTATGCGGCTCCTGAGTCTCAGTGTTTCTCAGGGTCCTTCAGTACTTGTTGCAAGCATCTCTGAGAGTGAGGTGCCCTCGAGTTTCGCCTGCTACCAAACAGTCTAATCTCTCCCCCAATGAGCCCAGAACTGGGGTTCAGTTCAGTTGGAAGTGGGATTGGAAGTGGGGTTCAGAGCAGTCTGGAGCTTTTGGCTCCTTCCCGCCAGGGCAATTCCATAGCACAGCCAACCATCCCTTCTCTGCAAGCAATGTGCATGCCTTCAGGGGCTCTGCCTTTCACCGCTCCCCCGGGTTTCTGCCTTACAGCCCAGTCTCCCTCTGTATGAGCCTGGGTCCCCAGGGTCTGGCCTAGAACTGGGGTTCAGTGCAGTCAGAACTGGGGCTCAGCACAGTCCGGAGCTTTTGTCTCCTTCCCGCTAGGGCAATCTAGCAGCAGAGTCTATAGTCCGTCCTCTGTGTGCAATGTGCGTGCCTCCGGGGACTCTGCCTTTTGCCGCTCCCCTGCTATTCTGCCTCACAGCCCAAGCTTCCTCTATATGAGCCTGGGTCCCCAGGGACTGGCCTAGAACTGGGGTTCAGTGTTGTCGGGTCTAGGGTTCAGCACAGTCTGGAGCTTTTATCTCCTTCCTGCTAGGGAATGCTAGCCAGGCACTCAGTCTCCCCCTCCACTCCAGCTCGGTCCTCTCGGCGCGCAGCATGTCTCTGTACCTTAGGCTTTTACAGCTCCTCTGATTTTCCTTCTGGTTTTCTCTTTCCTTCTTGTTGTAGAATTTCCAGTCAGTCGACTTTCCTATAGTTCTGGGTAATGTCCATTTTATATTTTAGTTGTATTTTATTGAAATTGTAGTGTGCGGCTGCGATTAGATGTTTACCTGTGCAGCCATCTTGGATCCTCCCCTGGGAAATTCTACCTTTAGGTTGAAGTTTGTGCCAACAGCATCTGGTCAATACTTAGTGTTG